ACACAGACTTATACATTTAATAAAATTTCACAGTAATATATGTCCCAAAATTGGTACACACAAAAACTGATGAAATGCTCATAATGTCCTTAAGTTAGTAGCTAATGGTATTTTACCAAATCTATTTCCTGTTTTACAAAATGCACTTTGGTTATTGAAGAAGTTATCATTGGGAAATCTGGCTACAAAATACACAGAAGTTATTTTTTGCAACTTACTGTGATTTCTAAATTATTTCAAAATAAAAGTTTTTGTAATAGCCTGCTTTTTTTTTTTTTAGGAATTTTACTTAATCTATAAATTTGGGGAAAATTTATGTATTTACATTATTGAATCTTCCAGTCAATAATCGTAGTCTATTTCTCAATTTATTTTTGGATCTTTGTTAACTTTTTAAAATTTATTTTCTCCTTAAAGAAGTTGTACAACTTGCATTAGATTTATTCCTGGATACTTTGTATAGTGTACACTGTTTATGCTTTTTAAAGCTTCATTTTCTGACTTTTTTGCCAGACAATTCAACCTTACTCCCTTTTGTCTGACTTCCTAGTCTCTCCTTTTTTGTTCTCACTGTGGATGTGAATGATCTCTATATGCTCAGTCATACCATCACCTCTCAGGCTTCATGTTAATTGATCTCTTAGTAGAATTTGGCACTGAATTTGTGTATCATCCTTACTACCTTTGGGTGATGTTTTTTTTGTTGTTTGTTTTTTCATTAATCAATGGTAATGTTTTTTCATGAGCCTCTTAAACAGCAAGGTCTGTGTTTCTCTGGATTCAATCATAACAGCTGGATTAACCCTTGTGCATTTAGAAAGATTGACCATGAAGAAGGATTTTGGAATTTGGAATTGCTGGAGTCCACGCTGAAGACTAAGGAGATTCATAGTGCAGGAACTCTGAGAGCCCCAGGAAATGGGGAGGGGCACATCAGATATCTCTTATTTCTCTACAGTAACTTGTGAATGTACTCATTTGTCCTCCATCCTTGATTAGTTCAATCTAGTCTGATAATTTAATTTAACAAATATTTATTGATAGAACATAGTTCCTATAAGTGCAAGTGTGTTAATGGAATTATTAATGTCTAATAATGTTTTATTTCACTTAATCCTGAAGAATATTTTCTCTGGATATAGAATTTTATGTTAGTGGTTATCTTCTATTTGCCATATTAAGATATCATTTCACTAACATCTAGTTTCCTTCCTATTGAAAATTCAGCTATCAGTCTTACATCTTTTGGACTATATTATGTCTTTTTTCCTCTGGTTACTTTTAACATTTTATGATTTTTTTTTTAACTTTCTGAAATTTTACTGTTATGCTGAATTTTTTGTTTTTCCTGCTTAGATTTTGGAGCTTCTTGAATCTCTGGGATGATATTTTCCATCCGTACTAGAAAGTTCTTAGCCATAATATTCATGTTATGAAATACTATATTGTAAGAAAGCAAGGCTTCATACACAAACATGAATAATTCCTAGAATGCATACTGTATAATTCCATTATATCAATATTTTCTAAAAGATAAAAATATAGTGTGATAAAACCATTAAAAAAACTATGGTTAGATTCCATAACAGAAGAAGTATTGTTGCCCCTAAGGTGAGGAAAAAGAGAATGTAATTAGAAAGGGAAACTTAGTATGGGGAGTTTTCTGTGATTTGGGCAATATTCAATTCCATGACCTGATTTATAGTTATGTAGTTTTACCTAAAATAATCTAAAATATGAATTTAAATTTCATGCCTTTTATTGTATGTGTATATGGTATGTGTATTATATTCCACCATATAAAAATCCCACAATTAAGTGCATATATACACACAGAGAAGAAATAACAAGGAAGAAACTGCTTAGATAAACTGGGCAGGGAGAGCCTCTCTGAGTGTAGAAAGATATTTTTATAGTCTGGAGGGAGATATTTGTATGTAGTAAACTCAGCAATACAAGCAGTTGCATACCACCTGAGAACTATTGGAAGTCTGAGAAGAGGTCTCTGTGTGTGATCTTCATTTACTGGTGAATTTATCTTGAAAAGTAGTAGAGGAGTCACTAATTTCCCTTACATGGGCTCATCCTTAGATACAGTTCTTAGAATAACAGCTAGGATTGTTGATATAGCATATTGAAATCCAGGAAATTTTATTTAATCTGTAAGCCATAATAGGAACAATGGATAAATTGTAGGCTACTCCTTCACTATTCAATCCTAGACCTATCTCCATGGTCACTTCAATGTCTATATCTTCCCAATGCTCAGCACAATAGAAAAGAACTATCTAGGGAATTGTAGATATATTGAGAAATTCTGGGATTTCCAGAAAATCTTAAGGAATAGCAAGTCTCATGGTAGAAAAGAACATACACACAAAGGCTTTCCAGAGATACTTATATTTTTTCTTGGATCTGCACCTATTTTTCAGATATGTCCTCCATTTTTCATGTTTGTCAAGAGAGTAGGACTACTCTGACTTCATCTAGTCCTAGTCACCCAGAGCTGTGTCATTAACTTGCCTGAGGGAAAAGAAATAGGCTGTTCTCATCTGACTATCTCTCAAATCCTGACAGAGAAGAAACTGTCCCTTCCCTGCTAGAGCACTAATACAAGTCTTTTGATATCAGGAAAACTCCAGGAGTTTAGCCAATTGTGTTGAATTGGAACCCTAACTGTGGTTCTTCATCTTGTGTATACTCCTCGTCAGGCGTAGTAGAATCTTCCCAAGCTGAGATTTCTTTCCTCGAATCCGAGTACTCATCACTAGCCACTTTAACCCATTCAAAAAGATCATCATGTGAAAATATCTCAGTTACCAATGAAAGTCAGGATATGTTTGTATTGTCTGTGAAGAGTAGATCTATCTCTTTTAAAAATTATAACTGATTAGGTGAACTTCTATTCAAAAGGAATCATTTTTATTGATTTGCATGATAACATTGGAGATGCAAACTAGAAATTCTAGCCCCTAAACTAAACATCTTCTAATCACACACAGAGAGATATAATTAAGTATCTCAATCATGCTAAGTGTTGAGGTATAGGCCAGCACTTACTCATCTGGACAAATTGCACCAGAACTCGTGTTGGTGGAAAGACATCATGAATAAAGAGCTTTAAAGACTTAAATAAGGTTTAGAGCAATAAGGAAAAGAGGCTTCTGAATATTTTTAAGTCATGGATCTGGAATTTATTATATAAGCAGAATTTTGGAGGGAGTTCCTTTAGAGACACAAAGAAAAGCAGTAGAGTGAGACTCAGTAAGAAAATCAGATATTAGAGCCACAAAGACAGGGAGTATAAATTTGGGGGTCTAAGGAGAAAAGTCAATAAGAGGATTAAGGTATATAAGTAAGGAAAACAATAGCTGAGGGAAGAAATTTCTGCTGTAGGAGAGTAGTATAGTAATATGATAGAAGTATGAGTAGGAAAGGAAACAGTTTACAACAAAGCAGAGGTAAAAAATGTTTCCTCCTTTCTAGTGGGCTGCCATTGGGCAAAAAATTAAATATAGAATTCCTGGAAGGAAAGGAGATGAGATCTCAAAAGGTAGGAGAAGACAACATAAAGATGCAAGCAAAGATGCTAAATGCAGAGCAAGGAAAGGAACACTTCTGCCAGTGTATATGCAGAACACAAAAATCAGTTGTGTGTGTGTGTGTGTGTGTGTGTGTGTGTGTGTTTGTGTTACAAACATTTTCACTTGTGTGTATGTAATACATGAATATTTTAATGAATACTATTTATTTATTTATTTATTTTAATGACTCCTTTATGATGTTATTTTAGTGTGGTAGATGCCCAGGTAAGCAGTATATATATATATATATATATATATACACACACACACATACATATATATCTGTATATGTGTATATATATATATATATATCTTTCTGCAGACATGAAAATATCAGTTTGCTCTTTTGGCATGTAAGAATAATTTCCAAAATATCATGGATCTAAAAGTCTTTTCCATCCATTACTCTCATTGTCTCCTACCACTTCAGTCAACATCTGGCTTAGACCACTACCCCACTTTGCTGTAGACCTACATAGTGCTTTGTTGCAGCCTGCTTGCTTTCAGCTGCTATTTCTCTTTCCTGTGTTGTTCTGTTCCAAGAATGGCTCAAACCCTTCCCTCAACTCTCTGCAGTGACAGAAGAGACAAAGTTGCAACTTTCATTACAGTTTATTGAAGGCATAGCAATAACTGAAGGAAACTAACTGAAACCAGAATGAGATACTGGACATGACTCTACAGGTTCAATCTCTACCACGGGAGTTTTACACTCAGCCATGCCTCTACCTAATAACCTGGCTTGTCATCAAGTAAGAAGGGCCAGCTTACCCTTCTCCAAGAGAAGCAGTCTTAAACCTTTCTTTTCTGACTAAAGTCTAAGTCTCAATCACCAGAACACTCCAAGAAAGAAAAGCAATTTCCTCCTCAGCTTTCATCTTTTACCCCTCTTCTTTTAGGATGACTGACAGTGAGAAACTTTATTCCCCTCATAAAAATCCTCAGTCAAAGCTTTGGGGCCTAATCTTTCCACTTTTCTCCTCTTCATTTCCTAGAGGTATATATTATTTAAAGCTCTGTGCTCAGTATTCTTTTTTGCCTTTCTGCATTCCACTTATATATTCTCTCAGTTTTAATGAACACTTGATATAGATGACTCTAATTTCTACCGATCCAGGCCACATTTATCCTTGTGTTCTTTCACAGTGTGGTATAGTAAAAAGATCGTAGAACCTGGCATTGAAAACCCTGAGAAACTGGAAGAAATTAGCTTCTGAATTTACCTAGCCATTTCATTTCCCCCCAAGTTCCCAAGAAATTACATAATTACTAATTTCTCTTAGAGCAGATTATGCTTTCTAAGGATTTCCACAGTGTCCCCACCCCTAGCCCCTCCCAGAAAAGCTTAACCTTGCAGGTATATAAATAGGTACTTTAGAAGCTTCCTGCCTTAGCCTGGCCCTCTCTTCTTTCAAAATGGACAAGTTCCTCCTGTTGCGACTCTCCATCCAGCTCTGCTGCTTTAGTGGTGAGTTCCTAGGGTTGACAGCTAGTGAGCTGTGTCCAGCATCAAGGAATGGGTCAGAGGTCCCATGACAGAGACCTTCTCGTGGAGTCATGTGGTAATGGAAACGTTAATGAGCTGCTGCTCTAAATGCTATGCCTTCCATCCATGCTATGCTATGTCTCGGGGACCTTAACCAAAGCCCTCTGTCCTCTTCTTATAGTAGGAAATAGATGGATTAGAGAGAAATTGAAAGGGTTTCCATGGGAGCTGTGAAATAGGATTTAGAAAATGAGAAGTCTGCAGTCTATCTTTTTTTTTCAACAGAGCTATCTGGATCACTTTCAGCCAGAGATAACACAGATGAGTATAAATAAGTGGTATGAGGGGGGAAAAGTCTGAGGAGGGGAAAATTAATGGGGTGGGGTGAGCACCAGGAACTAAACACACACACACACACACACACACACACACACACATGCGGGGTGGGGGGCGAGAGAGAGAGAGAGGAGAGACACACAGAGAGAAAGAGAGAGAGAGAGAGAGAGAGAGAGAAACAGACCTTGAGTTTCAACACTCAACAACCTCTTCCAGCAGGACGTAGCTGATTATAGGTTTGATAAAAATAACATTAGCAGCAATCAACAAGGCTAGGAGTGAGCAACATGAAGAGCAAGAAAAAGGGAAAGGAGGAATTGGAATGTTGACTTTGCAGGCACTACTTAGCCAAATTTCAAGTGTAGCAGCTTCATGAATTTCAGATACTTGTTCCCTTATCAGTTCCCAGACAGGTGATTACGAATGCCATATAAGATCAATTAAAAAGAATGAAGTGAAAAAACAATGTGAATTTATCTTCTTCCTTCTGGTCTGTGCTGCACCCTACAGGAAAGGGTAGATGAGTCTAAAAGCCCTAAAGAGGTGAAGACAATTGGGAGGAGAGAAGAGGTGCAGAGACGCCTAGGCTTTGGAAGGACAGAAAGGGTCTAGAAAGGTTCCAGGCTACATGTGCAAGATGGACTCTGAAGGGGGGATTACAAGGGACCTATGCAGTAGTAAATCTCAGACAAACTGTTGAATTGTTTTATTTCTTTTTGCCAGCACAATCAATGAAATAGTTGTGGAAGATAATCTGTCTGGTGAGTATGAAGAGCACCTAATCTGATCATCTTATTCTTGATGATGTTCCTCTTTTTCCTATTGCTTCACTTTTCCTTTTCCTCCTGTCTTTGAGGCTAAAATTCCTGACACTGTAAACTCCAGTCCCTCTCTTGGCTTAGCCTATTCAAATGAAGACATATTTAAGTTCTGTTAATGGTGCTCCTGCAAAGCCCTCTTGTCCCAAGCAGATTCATGCCCATCGTAGTGGCATTTTCTCTCACTTATATTTCCTACTTTCTGGCCAAGGTTTAAGAATTGTTCAGTGTAGGACGTGCCACCTTCAGTTCTCAGGAGAAAAGTGTTCCAGAGGAAGAGGAATATGTACTGCAACAACAGAAGAGGCCTGCGCAGTTGGGACCATTTACAAAAGTAAGTTGTGGACTGGGGAAAGGAAGAAGGGGCAGAGGAAGTAGGCAGGGCCATGTCAGCCATGGTTAAAAAAAATGAAGCTGGGCTCGGTGGCTCAGCCTGTAATCCCGCGCTTTGGGAGGCTGAGGTGAGTGGATTGCCTGAGCCCGTGGGTTCGACACCCGCCTGGGCAACTTGGCGAGACCTCATCTCTACAATAAATCAAAAATTAGCCAGGCATGGTAGCGCGTGCTTGTAGTTCCAGTTACTTGGAAGGCTGAGGTGGAAGGATCGCCGGAGCCCAGCAGGTCGAGGCTGCGGTGGCCAGGAGCGGCCACCGCACTCCGGTCTGGGCAACAGAGTGAGACTCCAACTCAAAAAAAAAATTAAAATTAAAAAATGAAGATTTCACTTTTACTACAAGCCTAAGATGTCTGATATCTTTACCCCCATCATATATAATAATAAAAGATATATGGAAGTGGTCACTAAGAGGTGGTGGTATGTCGATAAAATAATATTTTGAGAAGCCTGAAGAAAACAGAGGAAAATAAATGCAGGTAAGAGAAGAGGCATTATCTTTTTTTAATTGTGTTTTAAAGATGTAGGGTACAATTCAGGATTAGGTATACAAGTGGACATCGTATAGGTAAAGTTTGGGCCTCCCTTTGGTCCCCACTTTGCCTGGTTTGAGATCAGGTACCCTTACTGATGTTAGGTGCCCTCCTCCCTCTCCTGGCAGCATCCCACTACTGCCAAACCCTTTCTTATAGTATTATGATAAAGATTCAGGATCCACTTATGAGTGAGAACATGTGATTCACAGTTCTTCGTTTCTGTGATAGATCACTGAGTATGATAGACTCTAAATCCATCCAAGTTGCTGTAGAGTCCATAATTTTGTCCTTCTTTATGGCTGTGTAATATTCCATCATGTTTATGTACCACAATTTTTTTATCCAGTCCACTTTTGATGGGCGGTATGGTTGCTTCCATGTTCTTGCTAGAAGAAGCATAATCTATGCCTGAAGGATAACAATGAGTTGTTGGGCTGAGAAGGGGCTCTTTTTCTTTGTACGTGCTTAGATGTCTTTATAGATGGGCCTAAACAGTGAAAATAGAGGTCAGTGTCGTTAGTAGACTAAGATGGCTCTTTATGGGTAAGACTAGACACCGTGACTCTCTTCTCCTACTCATTGGCATTTATAACCCTTACTTAAACCAGTGTTAAGATTCTCAATAGAAACATCCAGTTTTGGAAGTCTTTGAATTGCTGCTTTTATTACCACCCTACTCCCAATAATTATTTTAGACTGCTCCATTATTGCTTTTCTTTTAGGAAACCCCAACTTGCAACATTTCCAGTTTCTTCACATTTGAATAACATAACTTTGAACTACACAAAGTTATTTTTATATGCTGACATGGTCTGGAAAGAAGTGTTTTTTGTTTGTTTGTTTGTTTGCCTTTTGTTTTTAGAAGCCTCAAACCCAGGATTTCTGATCTGTTTCTTCTCCCTTCCACAGACAATGGTATACTCTGGTTAACCTTTATGGGCTGCCTAAAGAACTGTGCCAATGTGAGAAACATAATATGGAGTGTCTATTTGGTGAACTTCAGGTGCTGCAGGGGCTATGACCTGTGCAATGAAAATCTTTAGAATGTGCTTGTTCTTCTGCGACTTCAACTTCTGAGTGGGATTGTTGCCTCAGCCTCTTCACAATGGCTTCCTACAAAGCACACTTTAAACAAGGATTGCAAACACATGATTGTACACTCCATATGTGGGAGGGGAAAGCCCTCTCCTTTTCTATAGTCTCTGTCTCGACCCTTTAAATAAATAAATAAACAGCCTTGAGAGAAAGATCAATATATCCTGCAGGTTTCACCGTACAACACATTGTTCAGAAAAGGAGGAAAAGGATAGTTCAATTTCAAAAAGAATGTCTTCCTCTTTTTCCTATTTCTTTCTTTCCTTCTATGACAGGATATTTCAATACTTTTTCATGGTTTTTTGTCTATGTATTATCCCTCTTATCCCACTCCACTAAACGCATATAACACTAGTCTCATGGGAAACAGGTGACAACATAAAAAGAAATGGCTTGAGTCTTCCTGGATTTTGCTTATAAATGCTATTCCCAGGGTGAGGAGAAGATTAAGATGCAGAAATAAATTTTCACCAGAACCATAATGAGAGAAACATGCTCTGTCTTCTAAAATGAGACGTTCTTTGGGGTTGAGAGTTAGTGAAGAAGAGGTGGAAGAACTTTTGAGATTCAAGAGATAATACCTCAACTCCCTGGCAAATGCACAAGGAGGTGTCAACTCCTAGATAGGAAAGTATATTCCCACACCTGAAGCATGGCAGAAAGAAAGCTAAGAGCTGTGGGATCTGAGGAAGGCATTTGGGTCTGGCCACTAGACATCTCATCAGCAACTCCTGTGGACAAATGCCCCATTACCAGCTGCCTCCCAACTCATCTCACACACGCACACTTGAGGTTTCCACCATGTATAATTCTATCACCTTGTGGGAAAATAGGGATTGGAATATGTTCACAAGGATTGAAGCTGATTTGTAACATACTGGTATAATAAAACTTGAAAGAATGATTAACGCTCTTACAAAAATATAAAGAAAGCCACCCTTATTCTATACTCAGATTTTGTTTTCTTTCTTTTCTCTCCTCCAAACCCTTCCTTAATTCCTTTAAGAAACATGTATTCAAAGCTTACTATGTATCATAAGATATAGCAGTCATGATCCCTATCCTCATAGAACTTAGTCTAAAGGGAAAGACAGATCTTAAAACAATAATAATAATAGCTAAGATTTATATGAAAACATATCTGAGAAACATTGCTATAAATACTTCTTATCTTCTAACTCATTTACTCTTCACACAACCTGGGGGTCATACTACTCCACATTTGGATCAGTCAGAAACAGAAACAGCACCAGCTATTTTTTTCAGAGAGAATTTAAAATGAAGAATTGTTAATCGTGTATTGAACAGAAAAACCAAAAGGAGATGTTGAGTTAACAGAGATAGAAATTGCAGGAAGCAGCTAAAACCTGTAGGCTTAGGGGGAAAGATTATTAGACCTTAAAAGCATGGGGGAGGGATCTTTTGGAACTGGGACCCAGGCATCTCAGGAAGAAAGAGCCCTCAAAAAGATAAAACATGTTTCTCAGGGAAGGGTGGTGCTGGCATCTCTGTGGGAGCACCATAAAGCTAGTTCTGGAAGTGTGAGGGCAAAACTCAAAACAGAACCAACTGTAGTTGTGAAACCAACTGCTACTGCCAGGGTGAAAAACTGTTGGTAACAGGAAGCAAATAAGAAAAGATGCATGCCTTCTTTCTTCTCCAGTCCACTAGTCTCCTTCTAGGGCTGTCTACTGGCTGAGTTTAATAGGGGTCTAGCTAGCAAAGACCAGCATCATAAACAGGAAAAACATGTATTTTAAAGTGAGAAACAATCATTTAATAACCAGCTCAGCCATCCCTTTGGCCATTCGGCATCTGTACACATTCTTCAACATGTATTCCAACTCCATTTATCAAGAAAGACAACTTGGTACTTTTGTCTAATAAGATGTATTTATCCTCTGTACAAGGAAAGTCTGTCTTATTCTTTCTTTAAATAAGGAGAGCTCCAAAGTCATCTCTACCTCAAAGTGGTTGTCTGTGCAATGTTAAATACTCTTCAAATCTAATTAATCTCAGTCATCAACCACCACCACCATTTTTTTTTTTTTGAGTCTGAGTCTCACTCTGTCACTCAGACTGGAGTGCAGTGGCCACTCCTGGTCACCTCAGCCTTGACCTGCTGGGCTCCGGCGATCCTTCCATCTCAGCCTTCCAAGTAGCTGGAACTACAGGCACACGCTACCATGCCCGGGTAATTTTTTGATTTATTGTAGAGATGAGGTCTCGCCAAGTTGCCCATGTGGTCTCGAACCCGCCGGCTCAGGCAATCCACTCACCTCAGCCTCCCAAAGCGCGGGATTACAGGCTGAGCCATCAAACCCCACTACCACCACCAATTTTTATGCAAAATAATAAAGAAATAGAGGAAAGAAAGAAGAAAATATGACAAGAAAAGAGGACTATATGCATAGCTATCTAGAGTTCATCTTTGTAACTGGTAAAGATGATACAAGTGATAGTTATAACTTCCTTCTTCTATAACCAATTCAACATCTTGTTTTCTCTCAACTCACCGAGTTGAGAATTATCCATCTAGTGAAATGATGGCTATCTCATTCTTGAAGTGTTCAAATTTTGAATGGTTTTGCTTTTTTTCAATTTCAGAGTTATATTTATTTTTACTATTAAACATAAGGATCAAATAGTTCTTCAGAGACTCTTCTGCATTCCCGATATAGTCATCTCACCTCACTGTGCAGCAGTAATTCAATTTCCCTATAACAATCAGGGTCAGTTTTCTCAGCCAGTAGAATAACTTATTTTTATTGTGGCATGATGGTATAAGGAACTCAAAATGATCAGATAGTCTTAGCTTTCAAATAAACTGAGACGCTGCTATGTTCCTAGTGGAAGCATTTCTCCCTTGGTAACTAAGGGAGCAGTGGGCTCCAAATGGGCAATGATCAAAGTTGCAGGGATGGGAAAGTTTACTCCCTTTCATACATCTTCATTCTTAGACCTGGTTATGCTGACTTTGGGGAAAGCAGAATCATGTGTCAGTTGCTGATTCAGAGCATATACTGCATCTAAGATACAATCTAATCTTTCCAGAGTGTTTGCTCCCAATTTATAGTTTAACTGCACTTTCATTGGGCCATTCCACCATTTTATCAGGCTAGTTGCTTCTGGTGATAGGGTGCATGGTATTTTCTTTTTTAATTGATTTTCTTTTTTAATTTAATTTAATTTTAAAGATGTGGGACACAATTCAAGTCTGGGTATACAAGTAGTCGTTGTACAGGTAAAGTTTAGACCTCCCCTTGAGATCAGGTACCCTTATTGATGTTGTGTATTCCCCTGGAAGTTTCCCACTACTGCCAATTCCTTTCTTATAGTATTATGATAAGTGTTCAGGGTTATGAGTGAGAACATGTGGTATTCAGGTCTTTGTTTCTGTGATAGATCACTGAGCATTATACACTCTAAATCCATCCAAGTTGCTGTGAAGTCCATAGGTTTGTCCTTCTATATGGCTGCATAGTATTCCATACTGTATATGTACCACATTTTTTTTTATCCAGTGCACTCTCGATGGGCAGCACAGTTGGTTTCATGTTTTTGCTATTGTGAATAATGCTTCAATAAATATGTGTGTGCAGGTATCTTTTTCATAGAATGATTTGAGTTCCTCTGGGTATATTCCCAGGAGGGAGATTGCTGGGTCATATGGAAGGTCAACTTTAGGTCTTTTAGGAATCGCTATACAGCTTTCCACAGAGGATGTACTAGTTTACACTCCCACCAACAGTGTATAAATGTCCCCTTTCCCCACTCCCTCTCCAGTATCTGTTGTTTTTTGAGTTATTGATGATGGACATCCTGACTGGAGTTTGGTGGTATCTCAGTGTGGTTTTAATTTGCATTTCTTTGATGATTAGTGAGGCTGAGCATTTTTTCATGTATCTGTTGGATGCTTGTATGTCTTCTTTTGAGAAGTGTCTGCTCATATCTTTTGCTCACTTTTTATAGGACTGTTTGTTTTTTCTTTTTGGCACATTTGAGTTCCTTGTAAATCCTGGATGCTAGGCCTTTGTCACTTATGATGTTGGCAAATATTTTTTCCCAATCTGTGGACTTTCTCCCCCCTCTCTTGATGGCTTCTTTTGCTTTGCAAAATCTTTTCAGTTTGATAAGGTCCCACTTGTCTATCTTATCTCTTATGGCATGGGCATTTGGGGTTTTGATCAGAAATTGGCTGCCTATTCCAATTTCTGTAAGAGTGTCTCTTGTGTTTTCTAAGGTTCTTATAGTCTGAAGTTTTATGTATAGGTCTTTGATCCATTTAGACTTGATTTTTGTGTATGATGATAGGTAGGGGTCCTGTTTCAATCTTCTGTAAGTGATCACTCAGTTTTCTCAGCACTATTTACTGAATAGGTTCTCCTCTCTCCAGTGGCTGTTAGTGGAGGTTTTGTCAAAGATGAGCTTGTTAAGAGATTGAGGTTTTGCTTCTGGAATCTCTAGTCTGTTCCATTGGTCTGTATGCCTGTTCTTGTACCAATACCAGGCTGTTTTGACTATTGTAGCCTTATAATAAAATTTAAAGTCTGGAAGTGTGATACCTCCCACTTTGTTTCTTTTGCTGGGTAAGTGATTTTCACAGGCCTGAACACATTACTGTACCTCTTCTGTAGTGAATTAAGTTCCTCGCTTGGAAGTAATGTTGTGAGAAAAATCTTGTTAGAAAATAAGTTATTCTGTAATTCCACAATTAGTGGTGCTGGCAGAAGCCTTATTAGCAGGAACATCCATATTCAAAATATATGTTTATTTCAGTGAGGATAAATTTTACCCATTGATAGAAGGAGGTTAATACTAATCAAGCTATTAATGACTAATCATGAATCAATGTAGGTCTTTCCAGACTAACATTGGACAGGGGCACTCTTGATTAGGATTTAATGCTTTGGTAGTTCACTCCCAGTCTGTCGCCAGAATATCCATT